TACTAGTAGCTAACCATTTGGGTAGCTGGTAAACTATTATGGAGTCATGGTAATCATTAATGTTTTTTTCAAAACCAGCTAGAGTCTCATGCAGAGATTGAGCATTTACACAGATTTTACATTCAAATAGTTTGTTTTATGCAATACATATTAGTTTCTCATTATTGAACTTTGCACCTTGAAAACCTGTACAGGCAAGTTACTTGCCATGAAGACTCAAATACAGACTTCTATCTGACATGGTCTAATCATTTTGGGTTCTTAATGTATTTTTAATTAAGTACTCTTCTATAGTTAAATGCAGGTGAAAGTAATGATACGAAATTAGAACTGTAGAATCGGTCTGTATCAAGTAGTAAAGAAAGCAAGCAATTCCCCTGAGCCAGAAGGTGCTGCAGTTGCCAGCACCTTGTTACTTCTTTGTGACCTTTTCATGATGAAACTGCCCTTTTAAATCCTTTCAGCACAGGTTTTTTGTTTCTTGGAGTGGGTGGACAGGAACTCAGAAATATTTCATTGTATCTTTCTGAGTAATAGCAAAATTATGAATAAACAAAATATTATTACATTGTAAGATACAAATAATAATTTTCTTAAATTTATCAGTATCCACTATCAGAGAATATTAATCAGATGGCTTATTTTTCTCTTGTTTTTGAAAGGTTGAGTGGGGATTTTTTCTTGTTATAATAGACCAATTTTCATGGAATTGTGAAAAAATTATTTATTTCTATTATTTTTAACTGACTTTCGTATTTTACAAGTTTGACCACAATTTACAACTTTTGGTTTTAATGCTCTGGAACAATTGACTAGTAAGTAGTAGTATATGTAGTAATTCAAGTGCATGTGTAATAATAATAATAATAATACAGAGCCCTTGTGAATACTGAGAACAATCAACTGACTGACAAGAGGATAGAAGGATTATGTTTAATTTATTAATGAGGAAACAGAAGCAAAACTAAGTGAATGACAGTATGGCCCCAAACATTCAAGCAAATTAGTATGAAGGAATAAGCTATTGCTCCTCTGCTGATGCGTGATAACTGACTGTGTGCATGATCTTAACATACAGCACACATGACTTAAGTTGAACTGGTTTAGTCTTTGCTAAATAAGAAAATGCCTGTTACTGACAGTGGAAGAGGACTAAACCATCTCCAATTACCTTGTGATGGTGATCAGTTAAGGGTTACCATAAATCAATTACTGTGTGATATAAATTCTGACTTAATAGTTACTTATTTGTATATCTCAACTTGTAGTTTATAGTACAGCAGAGATGAGAATCCAGGTGGTTTTGATTTAAAATTGGTAAAATAAATTGTTGCATTACACTATTGCTGACAAAAATCTCTCTGATAATAGTATTAGATTGCAGCAAGATTTGAACTTAGCTATTATTTGTTTATGGTTATGAAATATCTTCTCTTGATACATTTCTTGAAGAGTTTGGTGTTGAGAAAAGGTAGAAGATACAGATTCGAGGTAGCTGGTTCTATAGGCAGCCTCTAATTTGAGAAGGGCTGCCAACTGGACCTGCATTGAAAGTTCTATGACTCCTGACAGTATGTTCGTGAGCCTGGAGAAATCTGTTTGCTTGGCAGTACCAGAAGATAAAGGTAAGTGTGGAAGATGATAGGATAGACTGTTAATCAGCATTGTAGCTTCCAGGTGGATGGCGATTGTTTTGTTTTTTAATCCACTGTATAATCTTGGACTGACAGTTCATCACAAAGCAATACAGAAATACAATCTGCTAGATCACTTGAAATACTCCCTCTTGCACAGTAATTGTTGTGTATGAGTTCAGTAGGTCGTCTTGTGGATGGACCAACTAAACAGGTAGTTGGGGGTTTATTTTGGGTATTGAAGACATTATTTGGACTCCTAAGGGCAGCACTGAGGGACCTTATCTAATTGGTTATTGAAGCAACTGCAGCTGCATTGTCAGTCTGATCAGTATTTGTTACAAATAGATTTTATATGATGTAGTCTTGGAGGAGCAGTTTTTATGGAGCTTATTTCCAGTGAATTGGTAATGGGGAAGAATTTGATCTAGCCACCTGCTCTCTACTGATTTGAAGTTAGGTCATATCCTTGTCCCAGTAAGCTGACATTAGATGTTATTGCCATCCAGTCTCTGTGCCCTAGAGACTTGCCCTTTGACAGGTCTGCCTTTTAAAGTTCAATGGAATAGATATTTTCTAACCCCCTTGGGTAGAAGAAATCTCATCATTTGCTGATATCATCAGTCCAATGAGATAACAGGCATCGTTAACAGAATTCACTGTGAAGTGGTACCCGCACCTCAGCATGAGACTTTGTTGCTGCTGCTAGTCTTCACTGAAATGTTTTGGTTATGGAGAGAGATTTTGGAGGAGGCCCATATTTTTTATGAGCTTCAGTCTACTAACTCATTTCTTGTGGTCTGTGTGACCTGAAGAAATCCTTCTTGTGACTGGCAAGACTGTAATAAAAAACAGAGGGCTGTAAACCTTCTGAACTGCTCTGTATGTATGTAGAGTCTGTATGTACATATGTCTCTAACCAGAGTTAATACATAGAGCTAATATTTCTGTCTTGGCTGAGGTCAAGAAAACATAGTTGCCTTTTATTTACTCTTGAACTTTTTACAAAGACAACAATCCTGATTCTTGGAGATAAGATTGGTTAAAGTGCTGCTTGCTTGTGAGACTTGAAGACTTGATGAACTTCAACATTCCAGCAGTTTCAGGAATCACAATCTTCAAAATGAATTATGGAATTTATGAAACTGGACTAGAGATTCATTTTCCATTTAAGGAAATAATCTGGAGATCTGAGAAGCACTTTGACCTATATTTCAGTATTCTTCAAAATGCAATTCTTTTAAAAAATATTTTAGCTACCAGTCTTTCCTGAAAAAGATAAATA